CACATGGCTTTAAATATTTAGAAACAAAAAAGGTGTTTGTTTGAAGTTTTTTGTTACATGATTTTTGCATTTACATCTAAAATAGCTCAAGCAAAGTTTAGGGTCACTTGCAGCAATAAGGTAAAAACAATACCAAGCCTTTGTCTTTCATAAAAAAAAGAGAGTAGTAAATTTTCTTTTTACATACTTCTAATAATTTACTGTAAATTCTAAAATTAAGTGGATCAGGAGCTGCCAGCCTGTTCTCATTACAAAATTTAATTTCTATGCACTAAGGCCCAAACCCCAAGCCCACTGAAATGAACAGCAAAATTTCCAATTGCTTCCAGGAAACTAAGCTCCAACCCTAAATCAATCTTACAAAAAGCTCTGTTGCATTAAATAAAATTGCCTTGTCATAGCCATATAGACATATCTATATACAAGAACTCCTTAGCATGAATCATTTACATCTATGCAGTGTAGATCTCCAGCACACGTAGGAGATCACACAAATGCACAGTTATCTGGAGGAACCTATGCACATGATAGTGCTGCAGGTACATGGGCATAGAAGCCTTGGCAGTACACAAGGACACACGTGCACTTAGACATACATACAGGTAAATGCATATTCTGACATTCCCAACTTCTTTTCCATACAAAATTGCATGCTTGACTACACACGGAGATGAACACATAGAGTAATTTCTATCTCTCACTCTCACAGGTATCTTTTTCTAAACAGGTTCCCACCTCCTCAGATTCGTCTGCGCTTTCTCAGGTTGTTCTCAAACCAACCAACCTTCCTCAGTTCTCGCCTTTTGTTACAAGGAAACACATTAATACAGAATAGCTTTCTTCTTCTGGAAGTAACTTGCTTTCATTTGCTACACTTGAAATCTTCCATATAGTATGCCAAAGCCAAAAAAAAAAGATAATTAAAAAAAAAATACCAAGGGGAAATAGGCTTGTTTTCTAAAAGCCAAGGACACTGCCTTAAAAAAAAAAAAAAGATGTGAGAAAATCAACTCAGATGATGATTCACGGTCACATTCCTCAGTATCTTCTTAATAATAATGATAATTTCTGATCTCTCTAGATTTCCAGAACTTCTAGCATCTTTTTCCCCTTTGCCTTTTCCTGTTTCCTTCCTGCATTATTTTACTTGCAGTCTTCCACTCCAATGAATCTCTGCCTTTAAAACAAATTAGAAGAGAGAAACAAGAGCTCCACTCAGAGAAGCTACAGATAATCATAAAGATCTCTGGGATTCAGGATCCAATTAGGTAAAACAGGAGCTTGCAGGAAAGTTGCCTTGTGTGGAGCGAAAAGCCTTTGGAGTGTGCCCTCTCGTGGCCATTCTTTATTCAGCATGGATGTCTGTACCATTAAACAAATTAGCTTTCAAAAGAAAATTGATTAAGTTATTTAAAGAGGCATAAGAGACTAATCTTTGTTTTCCTCTTGCTCTGTCAGCGTGGAAGTATAGGGGCAGGAATCTTCCTAGGGAAAGGCAGGAGTGCATACACACATGTATCTGCACATGAAAGTAGGCAACACACAGTCAAACCAATTCAGTATAAGGTGTTAGAAAAACGTAGAAGTGGTCTAAATAGCTGTCAGACTTCTCATTTTTTCCTCATAGTTCTCCTACGACAAGCCTTTGGATTTCAGTATTTCCATCCAGTAATTCCTACCACCTTCTTGGGGGCTGATGTTAGCAACTCATTTGATTGGTAGTTTAATTGCCACGATCAAATTCACTTGGCAAAGCCCCAGGTCTGCCTAATAAGCTATCTACTTAAAATAATGAAAGAGTTAGTAGCCAACCATATTTTATGAGCATTGGGTATCTCAGTTATAGAACTTGTTGGATTTGCTTGTCACAAAATTATATGACCCAGCTTCTCAAAAGACTATTTTTAAGACCTTGAAGTAACCCACAGAGCTCTGGCACAGCTACCCTCATAGCAGAACTAATCGAGGTTAGTAATTTTAGTTTGATATGCAAGTAGAAAATAATTTTCATGTTTTACTTGTAAGAGTGCCAAAGGACAGTAGGGTGCATTTGTAAACTTTTGCCCAATACTGGCAGTCATTAGTTTTGCAAAGATCTGCCTGGATTTGTTAGCTGTGAAAACTACCTGCCAACTATTTTGCTGATTTCCTGGACATAACTACACCTGTGCTTCAGACAAGTTCACTGCACTTAGTTTCCCCTCTAATTGTCTGAAGCTTGTGCTCTTTTGAATTTTGGTTTGTTTTAGAAACAGTCTTAAGCCAGAGCCACATGCACAGGGCACAGTATGTTCATTCACTCCATTTCATTGTATGTCTGAGGATACAGCTGATGAAAGATGGAAATACTATGTTTTCATGAAGGCAAGTAGTAAATGTGGCTTCTGAAAGGTAGGGGGAACGGCTGGTTTATGTCAAGTCATGCCCAAAGGAACAAAAGTCTTATTTCTCTTTCCACAGACGTTTATATGATACAATGTGAGATGTTTCCATTCATTTTCATTGATTTCCTATTGGCCTCTTTCAAAACAGAGTAAGTTTCACACAAAAAGCAGGTACAACATTAACCTAACTGCAAGGGGAATGTGTTTGTTCTCCTGCTTCGTGTTTTAAACTTATCCATACTCTTTCCAGTTCCCTTAGAGTGAAAAGTGGGGACTGTCCACGTGACTATACTCTATTCCTGTCTTTTTAACCTATATGACATATTACTTTGCCTCACTTTCCTCAGCAGGAGAAATAATACTGAATTAGAACTTGACATGCAATTCCTCTGGGGTGTTGAGTGGAAGAGATCCCAGGTAGAGTTTATTTAAGTTGTTGCAGCATTGGCACCTGTAAATCATGATAGATCCTCTGATGTTAGCAAGACACCAAATATAAATGGCTATAGATGAAAAATATGTTTTAGTAGTCTGAAGTTACTCCACAGAGTGGAGTTATCATTTCCATTATAAGCCCAAACCATATGGGTTGGTTTCTAGATTGCTAATTGCTCCTCCCTCCCCCCAGAACAAAGCCTAGCAGGTGTGAGAACTTGCCTTGGCTTCCAGGATGGGCTTAGCTTGAAGGTGAAGAACAGCAGCAGGGAAGAAAAAGCAAGGCAACACAGTGGATGCCCCCATCCTTCAGTTGTGCAACTCCATAGCATAAGTCTTCTTAAATAATTTGGCTAGCAGTGGCAGGTCAGCGCTATGTAACTCAAACCAAGCGACCTGTCAGCGCTGGGTAGTTTGTGGCAGGGGGATCGGTGGCCAGACTATTGGCCAGCGTGTGGGCAATGGCACAATTTTTGCTGCTCACGTGACCCCGAGAGCCAATAGCTTCAGGAGCCACCGTTGGAGGGTGTTGTACCGAGTAGGCATATATCAAATTCCAAATTCCTTTGTGTCAGAGCTCAGGAAGGACAATAATGTGTTTACAAATGATTGGGACTCACACAGTGAAGAGAAACCACTGCTCATGCCATATGTGTTTCAGTGTGTTCAGAACGAGCTGCTGAAAGCCAGGTGGGGAATCCGACTCATAGATAGCTTAGAGATTTCCTTGCTTTTAAAAACTCATTTATAAACTAGTGTCGAGCTCCCTCTGCTTCTAATGACCGCTGGCATTGACACCTTCTGCCTGCTTTCTGAAGTGGAGAGGATGGAAAAACTGAGAAGCCGGAGCTTTCATACGGAAAGAACTGATAATGTGTGTATTGACAAGGACTCCAAAGGCAAGGGCTCCTTGTACAGAAAAAAAAAGGAATGCCTGCTCTTAAAAGCATGCACACTTCTTGTGCATGGCTTCCCTGCAAACAGAACATCTGAGTCAACAGGTTTTCAGGACTGGAAACTCTGAGTGTTGTCTTAATTGTTTATACTGCTGCAGCAAACTTTTAAACAAAAATGCTTGGAGTTCCTTTGCATACTTTGCCTACCATATGCTGTACCAAACAAAACAATGACATTCTTTTAAAACCGTCTTGGCAACAGGAAAAATGCTTTGGCTAGACATCATCATAAAAGTTGCTGTTAGTTAGATGACAGAGTTACTGCAAGATACTGCTATTGATACATGTATAAACAGACTCACATATACTAACAGATATATATGCACATACATATACATTGAATTAAAATGGGTTCTGATCCTATTCGTGTAGCAGCAAGACAGTAAAGTAAAAATTTAGAGCTGTTTCCTGTAGGCAGTTGATGTGAGTCTCAAGCTATTATTTAGTAAATATCTATATTCTGAGCTCTTACTCTATAAGACTTAGAGAAAACAGAACTGTGAAACAGTTCAAACTACACCCTACCAAGGTTGCATTTTTTTTGGCAGGAGCATTTTAGGAACAGAATCTTTTTTTCCAGAATGCAGAAGTCTGCATTACAAATTGGATCAGCTATAGCAACTTGTCCGGTTCTATTGAAGTCATCTGACAGTCCCTGCAATTCTTTCTTGCCGAAGATGCTGTGTTAAATTAAAAAAAAAAAAAAAAGACAAAACAAAAACAAACAAAAAAAAAGCCCCAAATCCTCTCACTTCTTAAAGTTAAAGCTGCTTCATCTGATTTTATAACTTCCACTGTAGTTTTTACATGAAAGGGTTGATTCTCAGTTGTTTATAGCTCACTTTCTGTCTTGATGAACTCCTCAAAAGGCTTCAGCCCTTTTTCTTTCACCATCAACTCTGCAATCCAGTCCTTTACTGCAAGTACTCTGGCTTCACACTCACAGTTTGGAGGACCCCGCTGCAGCCTGACTTTCTGCTCAAGTTTGGTTAGAAAGCTTCCTCCCTGTGTGGCTGTCTGTGCTTAGCAAGTGTAATCTGTAGCCAAGACTAAGTCAGAAAAATCAAATTCCTTCAGAGTCCTGTCCCCCCCATCCTACTCCTCCTTCTCCCTTCCCCCAGGTCTCATCGTACAACCTTTCAGAAAACATTATTGCTGAGGAGAATAAGTTAATTGCAGTTCTGGCACAAAGGATATTTTACAGTTTTGTTTTTCAAGCACTCACCTGATTCTGCAAAAGTGATGATTTCTGAGGTTTGCTCCACAACTTCATTCATTTCAGCTCTTCTTCCAACATCATCCTCTATTTCCACATAACCATCCTCTCCCACCTTTCCCACATGGAGTTTCTTGATGGCATTTAAAAGTGCTGCCTTGGGCACAGGCTGGGTGATATTAGGTCTGTCCCTCAAGTGCAACATGTTCAGTATGTGCTTCTTTACTGCTTCCACCATCTCAGGCTGTGAGCTGGGCACATCCTTTGAGAGCGTGGTGAGGGCACATGATGGACAGTCAGTGACTGAACTGTGCCCCTCGGATCCTGGGGTTGGGGAACTCCTCACTATAATCCAGCAAAGCACCAACAAAAATCCTCTCTTCCAAAGCAAAGGCATCCTGGCAGCAAAAGTTGTTGTGATTCCCTTTTTAAAAGGCCCTGCTTTTCCTCCCCCTTCACGCACAGTTTTTTTTTTTGGGCTGGTTTGGTTTGTTTGTTTGTTTGTTTGTTTTTCCTTCTCTTCAGCAAATTCTCTGGAACAAGAACCAAAAGTTTTCTGTGAAGTTTTGTTTGCAGGTTGCCTCTCTGAATGCAATAAGTGCTGTAGATGTTTGTGGCTGTCAGGGAGAAGAGTTCTGACTCTGTCTCAGAGTAGGAGAGAGACACAGAGAGAGGGAGAGAGAGAGAGAGGACGGATTGGCCTAAAGTGAGTGAGTGAATGAGAGAGGGAGGGAGTTTTGTCTGTGAGTAAAGGCTATGATTAGGAAGGGGGAGGAACAGGCAGGCTGGCTTCCTTATGCTCATTGCTCCCCTAACACACACCTCTCTTCAAATATCACTACTCGTGGTTTCTGCCTTCCCTCCTTTCCAATTTTTTTTTTCATTCCTGTAAATTTACTCTTATTTTCTCCTTTTTTCCCCCTCTCTGTTTGTCCCCCCTGGCTGTCATCCCTCCCTCCCCCCCCCCCCCCCCCCCTTTTTTTTTTTTTTTTTTTTTTTGGTGTGTGTGTGTCTGTGTGTAATTTGTTTTGTTTTGCTTTGTTTTATTCCTTCAACAGTATCACTGGCTTAACTAAACAGAGGAAACATGAATGAATGAAAAGAGTTAAACCTTTTATTAACAAGCTCCTTGCTCTTGGTCCTGCCTGGTATCCTTAGGGATAGCAGATGCTGTTAAATAGCTTGTGAATGAGCTGGAGATGAGGGTAGGGGCTTTGAAAATGTTGGGCAGAACATTATCTGCCTTCAGTAGAGGAGAAAAGATCTTTTCTGCTCACTTTTAAATGCTGGAGGTTATCAACACTGGCAAAAGATCTGACAGGAGCAAAATAACACTGTTGTTTAGAGGGCTATATAATACATGATCCACTCTGCAGCTGCAGGATGCGGTCAGGCACCGAAAGCCTAAGCCAGAGATGGTTCAGCACATATCTGTGACATGCTAAGGTAGTGCCCTTGCACCAGAAATATCCCTACCTCTATGCTAGTCTGTGCCTAGAAGTTCTCAGGCAGATATATTTAGATTTGGGGTTAATCAGGTAATATCTGAAAAATGCTTTGAAGGTGAAAAGTGTTACATGTCATCTGGCCAAATCACACTCACTCCTGACTCAGGCAAATCCCTCATTGATGCCAATAATAATTCTGTCTGAGTGAAGGCTGAGTAAGATCTTCTACATTTGGCCCACTGTTATTAGAAGGTACTTTTTTGATTCATTCATTTAAGCCACACAGAGCAATCATAATGTTAGAATAAGGTATCGGGAATGAAAAGTAATCTAAAACACTGCTAGGAGCCAAAGTTTCAACAAGTGTTTGTAGACCCTTGGCAGTTTATGCCCTTGAGCATTTTGCTCTGCAGTGAAAAAGCATTGGTAGTGCTTCATGTTGCCTTTACATTCTGTAGCCTCTCCCTCCTGTTCCTAACCTGGCCAGGGCAGAAAGTTAGCAAACTCCCTCATGTTGTCACTTGGTAATGGAAAATGAGAAAACTAAAGCTGATAGACTTTAACTTCTGAAGTTCTTCCCCTCTAGACTTTAACCTGAACAGATTTTCTTAGAACAAGTTCTGCTTTTTTAGTACTTACCCTCTTTCTTTTCCTTCCTTTCATTCTCTCTCTCACACACCTCTGTCTTCTCAGGTATGCTTACCTCCCACCTAGCATATATTCCACTTTCACTATATTGCCATCAACATTGTATTTTAGTGGAAAGGAGTAATTTATAAATATAAGCATTGTAAAGTCTCTAATTTCCATGACATGACTACAGGTACATGGGCTGAGAGACAGGCAAGGAATTATAGTTAAATGAAACATACAGAAATAATTGAACAATCAACCAAAGTTTTACAAATGTTATATATTGCAAGTCCTTTTCAATTAAGCTCTTTTATAAGTCTTTCACTGTTATAAGGCATCCACAGTATACCCTCATCTGTGTTTTACTGACCTCAGTTGCTATACTGTTATATACTGTTACACTTACAGGTCTGTCAGCATTATAAACCCTGCAGCCATTCTTATAAACACATCTTTGTAACACAAACCTTGCTATAATACATCTAAATGTCTTGGATCTTGTGAACAGCCCAAAGTCTGTTGTAATTATACGAAGTCTGAAAGTCAGCTTGAAATAGAACTAAAAGTTTAATTGGATGAAAAAATAATTTCAGATGAAAATATGCATTCATGATTAGAGGTACTAACAGATGACATAATTAAAGGGGTTATTTATAGTTCTAATATAGCACCTATCCCAACAGTGTCTGATGAAAAGTAAGGGATAGGAATAAATCAATATAAAATACTTGTTCTTGCTGTGAGGTGTACATTGCTTGCCATATACAACAGGTACACTTATCACAGACAATCTGACAATCTATTACATATAGGTATAGCATATTTTACTTTCATGCCATGATGATGACATTTCACATTAAAGCATAACTTTCTAAAAAACACTGTTTTCCAGACGTGAGTCTGCTGATAGCACTGATACATAGCTCATTTGTACTTACATACATGCATATATATATATGTACAAAAATACATAGTGTTTGAACAAATACAGAAAACAGTGGTTCAGACTCTTTCTCTAAGATTACCTGAGCTGCAAAGCTCTGTATATGTATTCATTCAATATAGCCCTCATAGTATGCAACAGCATGCACAGGAATTAAAAGTTTCGGTTTGAAAAGAAAAAAAAGATGGTTTAAAGTTTTACCTCTCTAGTCCTGACTCTCAGAAGGAGACTGCTGTATTGTGCATTAAGAACTGCTGAAGTTCCTCTTTGTGGTATTTATAATGCGAAGCTTTATACTGTACTTCTCATGTGTGTACACTCACATATAATGTCTGTCAAAAGTAAGTGGGCCGGATCACTGTGCTGGATTGGTTAATCATGTTACATCAGCAATTGACTGTTTTTCCTGTATGAGACATACTTCTGGAAATCATCTAATGGAAACTCCTAATTGTCTAGCATGACAAAATATCGTGGATTCAACTTGTAGTGGTGATTTCTGTATCCATTTAAAGAATAGAACTTAAAATCAGACTGAAAGCAAACATTATGAGTCAGGAAGACACACTCCAACTTGTTTCATTGCATAGCTGTATATAGACATTATTAAATGTAGATATCACTGATTTAGTTCCAATACAGTATTTGCCAGATACTTAATGACTAGTTTGCTACTTGTTTTCTTCTTCTTTCATATTTAAGGATATACCAGCTAATCTGTTTGCAAATTTGGATTCTTTTCAACTTCAGGAAAATGCATTTGATTAAGAATCCCTTTGCTGTGGATGATTTTTTTTTTTTTAAACTCAATCTTTGTATAAATATGTCCTTCTGTTAAATTAGGGATCTCTTTAAAGCACTTAAAAATGAATCATATTGCTCTTGTCCAAGTCTCCTGGCTTCTTGACGTGCAAATTGCATCACACTATTAAAAACTGTTTAGACATCTAAAAATAAGTTACAATGAATGACAGGTCACATTTTTTTGCAAGTGTGGTACTAACACATGGAATAAAACAAAATGCTATTTTCTTTTCAGTTTACATTAGTGGAAATCAGAAATAACTGTATGCCAATTAGGCAGTACAAAAGTAATACATGTAAGGTCAAAAGTAAATCCAAAATCCATCTCCTTTCTTAAGCACACATAATAGCTGGCTTTATGTGGTACCGTGTATGACAAATGGCATGATCATGCAGTCTTTACTCATTCAAAACACCCACTGATTACCAGAAAATCCCCATCCTTCAGATTTATTTTTTTTTTGGCCTGAATCGTACTTACAATTGTATCTTTATGTCCTGTTGGTAACATAAATTTAATCTGGTTTGGAATATGGCTGATCTGGATCAGGGAGGAAAGACTGAATTTTTTCAACTTACTGTGATACCAGCGAGTCCTGATAGCAGCATTGATTCCAACTGGTGTGTGTGCTGTACTCACACAACAGCTTTGGTAGAATGAGAAAAAAATCAGGAGTTAATGGGAAACATATGACCAGATAGGTTGTTTTGTTTCCCAGGTTTAATATGTGTATAGTAAGTTTTCAGGCTGTAACAAGCTGTGGATTGAAGCCTCTTGAAACAGGTTTCAGTAGCTTTTCTGCAATCTGACATCGGAGGTTCCAGTTGTTACAAAGAACATCTTTTATTTTTTTCTTTTGCTTTTCCTTTTTTTTTTTTTTCCCCTTCAGGGACAATAAGAGACACACTTAAGAAACAAATAACAACCACACACATACCTAGTTATTTGCAGGACCATCTTTTTAATGGGGATCCTAAAACTGAATTTTGGCAAAGAACTTCAACAGCAGGGAATTGTGTTTTTCTCAGGACCAGACTGAATTTGATTTTAACTGGCATCCTAAAACTCTTTGAAATTAGGTACATACTGGTAGTGCAATGACTGTTGTAATTTGGCAGCAGACATATGCTCAGCAAGAGATCTTGTACTGCAATGGGTTTACAGAGAGTGGAAAAATTGCCCTGAAAGTAACAGAGTCGTCTTCTCCTTGGGATCAGACGAACGCAGCGCTTCATTCACAGCAGCTGGCGTGACGGCTGCTCACCATTCCCCCCCTACTGATGCAGCACCCAGCTTCTCCCACAACCCCAGGGGGGCAGGGAATTCCCAGTGTGAAAGTGTGTGGTCTGTGACAAAAAGAGAAGGCTACTGAGTGAAGCACAGCAAACATGTATGTGATTTATAGCACAGGAGAACTTCTGAAAGGAGATTAGAAGTGAAAAGCATTATTCATTTCAGAGCATGCTCCTTATTGCCTCGGGGAATTCGTGTACAGCTTTACCAAAGGCCTAATGAAAGCTTTACTCAGTGACTAATTTTTTTTCACACCTATTTCTCTCTTTATAAATATTTTTCTCCCCACCCCTCCACTTCTTTTCATTTTGTTGAACACAGCAACACCTGCTGGCAGTGGTCCGGGAGTACTGCTGGAAAGACCCACAAATCTAACTCTTCAGACCAGCTGCCATTAAGCACTGCCAAGCCATATTAATGAGCTGCCTCTATTTTTACCCCTTCCTGCCAGAAAGGGCAATTGCTCTCGGGAAAGACTGTAGCTGGGTAGCTGGGGGTTTTTTTACCCTTTTTTTTTTTTTTCCTTTTTTCCTTTTTTTATTATTTTTTTTTTTCTGGTCTTTTTTTCTGGTAGCTTCACAATCCAGATAATAATTGTTCATTTAGTGAAACTGGAAATTCTAACTTCAGTTCTGATACCACTGATTGAGATGACATAAAACATCGGAGTGATGCTGAGCCTGTCTTGCTGGTTCACAGGCATATATTAGTTCACTGCTGGATCAGAAACAATTAGAGGAATGGGTTCTGAGACAGAAAGGTTAGTATTCCAGTAACCTGTCTCTTTGTTTCCTAAATGTGGATTTTATTTTACCAACTATTAAAAAAAATGGACCAATGCCACTTCATTTTTCACCTAGTGGAGACAGTGTGATTTATTGCCTGTTTTGGAATCCTGAATTGCACACAACAGCATTTGTGCGTCTCCATTCCTGCTTTGAAGAGCAGTCACTAGAAAAAGCACTGGCACGGACCTCTGTGAAAATCAGCTGGAATCTCACCCTGTTGTACCTTATTTTGCTGTAATAGCAAGAAAAGATATTTCAGCAATTTATATTTACAAGTTTTAGATTTCTACTTTTATGTAAGTGGACCAATTAAGGCCAGTCTTGCTGCTGCTGCTAACTGTAATGCTTATGTGCTGTTTAGAAGGGCCACTGATTTCAATCATAATTAGTGAGCTGGTCAAAAAAATAAAGTTCATCTGAGGATAAGACCGCGGTCTAGAGGGTGGGGTAAAGAATAGCTTTCAAGTTCTTGCCTTTTTTTTAAATAATAATGGATGACACTATTTGCAAGGGGGTGCAGGATAAGTAAATGTTCTAAGATAATCTTACATGAAGTCAATCTGACTAACGGAAGCAAGAACATTAATTTTCTTTCTACACTATACCTATGTCTTCTGCCATGTCATTCATTGATCTTTTTTCTTGCCAAGTTACAGAACAGTGAGTTGTTTCTTTAACAGGGACATTTGAATGTCTGTGTTATTTTAGCGTATGTGTTGCCATTTTACACTTTAAAATATAAACCAGGAGATATTAATACATAAGAGGTGACACAGGTGATGTTATTAGTGTGAGATGATATGACACACACGTTCTGTGATCAGAGCTTGTTCAAAACTTTGCTTTTGGGAGAAAACCTATTTACAAAGGGAATTTTCTTGAATTGATAGGGAGTATGGACTTAAGTTATAACTATAGAGGGTAGGCCAAAGAACTAAAGTTGTTCACACAGCTTGTATATTTGACAGGCAATTTTTCAGTACAGTAGTGGACAAGTCTTTTTTTTTTTTTTCTTGAGAAACAGTTCTGTAATGTGTAAAATGTCTTGAGTGATGCTGTCTTCAAAGATATTTCCAGAGCTTATGATTAGAGTCACTTCAATGATTTAAACCAAACAGGGAGGGAGCCCCAGATGACAAATCCTATTTGGTTCGAAGTGGGGTGAAAAATATATGGCTACAGTTGGAGGAGCAATTAACATTTAAAGGTGAATTAAACCTATGATTGAAAGGTAGATTTCAGTAAACTAATTTGCATGCTGTTGAAAACTTCAACTGTTGCACAAAACGTACGTCGTTCCTTATGTAATTGTACTTCGATCAGTGGAGTTTTATCAAGGATATATTTGGGCAAGCTGCAAAACAATGGGGAATGGTTTTATTTCCTTGACAAGCCCTGAATTCTCTGTTCTGTCTGGCTCTTACTACATTTAGTCAAATGACAGCACACACAACAGTTTAAGTACAGAGTCCTGTTATCTTTTACCTTTTAGGGCCAATTCTCAATGGAACTGAACTTAGCGCTGGCTGTGGAAGCAGAATCCAGCTGAATCAAGCTCGGACTCTGAAGGTTAATATTAACCATTGGTGGATGGGAAGAGAAACAAGAAATCGGGTCTCAGATAAAAGCTGTTCAGATGATTATTCACTGATGTACTTCCCAAAGTAACGTTGCCTGTGGATTTTAGAAAGATTTACAATTCCGTTTGCAAGGGGAGGGCTGAACACTTAGTTAATGTAAATTGGGGTAGCTCTCCTGACTTCAGAGACTGGGTTACATCAGTAGATGATCTGATCCAAAGTATTTTTTTTTATTTTTTTTTTTCTAATTTATCATCTATGTATTAATCTCTGTTTTTTGGCTTTTCCTTTTAAAAGCATCCCAGTTTTTGTATTGTAAGAAAGATCCATTTCTTCTTGGTTAACTCCCTTGGTGATAGGGATACATTTTGCCTATTATGTGTTGATTATTGCTAAATCTGCTGATGTGTGGGAGGGAATTGAATGAAGCTCTCAAGCTTGCCACTTTCATTGCACTGAACTCAACAAGAGGTTATGCTGCAAATTTTCCAAGGTAGTCATCCTGCACAGGCCATTAGGAGAAGCTGCAGTTTCACACATGGACAGATACTCCTTCTCTGTGAGAGTGGCCAGCTGATAATTGGCATAAGATATATACTGAAGACACTGACAAGTGGCTTAAAAAGAATGTGTTGATCTGGTGCCTTGTTGCTGCTTTGTCCATTGTGAATCCCCTATGGAGCAAATCACTGTAGAATAATAAATACATCCTGCAGCAAAAATGGTAAGGGGAAGCCTGACTGCTTACAGCTGTTTACTGAGTAGGGTATTAGCTGGGGACCCAGGAAATTTGGATTCTC